CGTGGTCACTATATTCATGTTAAGACTATTTGTACCCCGTGAGTTTGATATGATAGGGTGCTCGAAAAAAATTAAATAAATACGTCTAAACAATAAAATGGAGAAAATGTGAGAGATGAAAACTCTGAATTTTTTCAATTATCAAGCCTGACCCTTGATTAGGTATAGCTCAAATCAGTATCTCAAATTTTGTTTGTGGTGAGGCTTTGGAGCGTGACATATTGGTTTGGGAATCTGAATCCTTTGGCGCTTACCAATATCTTTCGTTGTAAAGGTAAGGCCTCTGGTTAATAAAATGACTAAAATATCTCAGCATTAGCGACGCCGACTTAATGGGCTTTAAATTCTGAGGTGGGGTGAGTATTTCACTTACTCTCCAAAAAAACTCAATGAGTATTGAAGGCAACGCTGATCACGTGAGCTTAAAGATACATCAAGCTATCATTTTGGAACAGACAGGAAAGTAAAAGTTGTAAACTGATAGTTAGTGAAGAAAGTTTGAGAGTGCAGAAACAAAACCCTCTCCTAGCTTCAGTCCGCGCGGCTATCCATAGAGATTTAACTTTCGCGCGGATCATGCAAATAAAAGGTGCAAGCTCGAGTTGAATTGTAATCGTAGGTAACGTTCTTATGCCAGCCGTATTCCAAAATCGTCAAGTAAATCGCCCAATCATATAGTGTCTTGTACTTCTTATGTTCTTCGTATTTCCTATGTTATTTCCAATCTTGCAATGTACATTACTTGGAAACCACTGGCCATGACGTGTAAATAGAAGAGTTCGGTCGAATCTTCAGGAAATAAAACTCCTCTTAAATTTATTGCTGGTACGATGGTTATAGTTTCTGACAGAAACAAAGTTTCTGTGAAAGGTCAAGGACGTTAACGAGACATTTCGACAAGAATCGCTAAAATATAAATAATGGAATATCGAAAATTAATAATATCGTTAGTGACGCCGTTTTTCATCATGCACAACAAAAGCGCGAGAAGAACTCCTTTTTCTATGAAGGAAATCATGACTTTATGATTAAGAGGGAAATGGTACTGCAATTCTAACAGCCAGGATGATACTGAATTGAAAACTGCCAAAGAAGAGTGCGGTTTTAAAGGCCATGTCATGAGACCATCTCATGCCGCACGGTTTCAATAACAGAGAATTACAAGCATCTTGCAAAATGGAAATTGCGGTAATTGATACTCTGACCCCATTCTTTAACAGAGAAAACAACGATAAGCAACGGTAGCTTTTTTAGTAAGTTTTTTTTTTCTTTTATGGGAAAAAAACTCTGTTTTAGCTTGTAGAGTGGTATGTTGCTCGCGTCAATCAGATCGCCGCGTTAAGGTGTGAATCTCGCACCAATAAAGTTGTCGAATTAGGGTATGTATCTCGCACCAACCTGATTGCCGCATTAAGGTATGTATCTCACACCAATCAGATTGGTGCTCGAACCAATCTCGAACCAGTCGTATCACAGCATTTGGATATCAATCTGTGCACAAGAATGATATTAACTAGAAATTCGGTTCATTTGATAAGTAAGTGTTAAGATTGTGGCCCTTGCAAGAGCCTCGCCAAGAGGAGTCGATATTTAACGGGATATGAAAGGTTCGCATTTATTTTTAAGTTAAAACGTGTTTTTCCGCTCCTTTTCTCGCAACGCGCATGCCAAACAACTTACATTCCATCACGTACTATGAAAACAACGTCCAAAGTTGAATCCGAACATACCCAATCATTGCACTTCATGAACATGAGGCAATTTTTCACGCGCTTTAATTGTATTCTACCAATCAAATTCTATTTTGCCACATTAGACTTCGCTCCATCACATTCCATTTCCTTGTAAACAACTTACCTTATATACCTGAAAAAAAATTAACGTGAAACTTTATGCTACTGATAGTGAGTTTTCCACGGATTTTCCGCGTACTTTTAATGCCTTTACTGTGACGAAGCTCTCTTTATCCCTTTAGCGTTCTCCTTAATTAGCTACCTTCCCCGCTTTACTTGATCTTTACTCTGTTAAAATATTTTGACGTGTTCTCAAAACTTACTTTCTTTCTTCAAAAAAAACATTCTCCGTTATCTGAAATTGCCGGTGTAAGCCTCCCTGGGACCAGTGATTCTCGAGGATCATAAGAACCAAACTGTTGATGCTGGTTTCAACGCAACCTTTAACTGCGCTGCCAAAGTCCATCCCATGCCGTCTATCACATGGATACAGAACGATGACGCACTTGCTGTACAATTGAACCTACGGATTCAAGAAACTGACATTTTCCTCGACGATGAGCAAATTTATAGCTTGCTGATAATAAAGGATGTAAAGAGGGAATATAATGGAAAATACTACTGCTTTTCAAATAATAATAGAGAAAAAGCATCAAAGCCGGCATTCTTGTCCACAAAGGATCTGGGTGAGACATATGCTCTATATTTCTTATCTTGGCATTAAATTCTATTATGGAACGACCATTCCTTTTGGGAAGGCAGTTAAGATTATTTGAAAAGAATGCTTTAAAAAAGCACTCGCAAAAAGTGTTTTAGAACAGCTCACTAGTGTAGATTCACAAAATTCCTTGAGTACTGGACATTACTGTGTTACAACGAGCAGCGCCGCGGAAATAGCTCCGAAATCTGCTTTCCTGTTCATTAGACAATTAGGCAAGGTTGCATATTCATACTGCGTTGTAACTTTGCATTCATTTTCCTTGAGGGAACATTTTTGCATTCATTTTTCATAAGTATGAGATTTTATTCCATCCAAATTGAAGAAAAACCTCATTTTTACCGACTGAGCGATTAAATGAAGGTTAAACTTAATATTTCCTCATTATATACAAATCCTAGCGGGTAGATAATAAGGTTTCAGTTTCTCGCGATATGAGACGAAACTACCAGCTGCACCAAATAATGCGCGTGACAGGTCCTTGCGGTGCTTAATCTCACTGTTTTTTAATTATTCTTCTTACTTCAACATGCGTTATTAACTACAGCCTCGCCAATTAAGGAAAAGCAACGTTCTTTCTCCCTGATTATTGTGCTAGGTGTGTGTGGTGGCACAATATTCGCACTCATGTGTGGATGGCGTTTTTGTGTCGACGCGCAAGAAGAAATCACGAGGTAACACTTATTGAGCGCAATCGAACTTGATAGCGTCTAAACGTTAACTTGATCAAACGCCCAAAAAAAATTTTTTTTTTTTAAACCATAATCGCTGTTAAATAAAATTTGTAAGAAGACTAAAAGTGGAGAATAAACTATCATTTTTGTTTTGAACAATTAGGCATTTCGATCGCCAGGGCATTTGTGACGATGTCTGACACCTTAAAACTGCTCTCAATTAAACATGTTGCACTTCTATCGGTACCGGTATCAGGGCAACGAAGGTGTGGAAGAGATTTATGTGGCCTGCATAGACAACAAAGATTTGGCTGAGGTGATAATGAAAGATATGAATGCTGATACTGAAGAAAAGGCGCTTTTGGAGGAAAATGCTCTTATTCCGTTGCTAGATGTTGAAAATGACAATACTGATACGCAGCTAAACAAAAAAACGCACACGCATGACGACGGGAGTGTTGATTCGATACCGAGAGTATCGTGCGAGGAAAGAGGTACTCCCACTCCATTAGAAGTTGTATATAAAAATCCCATCTTTGATCATGTGTTAACGTTACAACGTAACTAACTTATGAATAATGATCAACTTTATCTATTATTTTATTTCAGGTAATGCATGCACACTTGCGAGAGCTGCGTTGCTGAATGAGATAAGGAGATTTTGCGTCCTTTCTTTCCCTGGGAGTATTTCCTTAGCTTTAGGCTTAGCTTATCAACTCAGGGCGGAGTTAAGAAACAAAGGCATCGCAAGTTATTGTTTGTGCTTTCGTTTCCTTTCGCGACTTTCAATGCTGACTATTCAAAATGTTAAAGCCCACCAAAAGCCGTGTGCAACTTTAATTTCTGCCCAAGGCAATCATATGCCTAAATCTGGACCAAGATATCCCTTTGACCGTTCAAACTTCATTTTTTTATCCCATACGTTGACGATTTTAGGTTTTCATAACAACTGAATGGAGAATAGTTCCCGAATGGTCCTAAAACGTTGCATAAACGTGATCTGTCGTGATGCTTGCGTGACTTACATAGTGAACAAAAGTGGTGGGAAGGCGCCTCCAAAATAATTATCGTTGAATCAGGTCACGAGCCACGCACAGTATGGAAAAAGATCAAAATTAAAGATTTTTATATTCGTCATACCGCGTAGTTCAAAGGGACACACAAACAAGTTAAAATACGTTACAGTGTTATTTACGAAACAACACGCATGCATTCTGGAAGAATTCTTGCAGTTTCTTCCTAGATTTTTCATACGAAACTGGCCCTCCGTTCTGCAAATTTCTTTCCATCATAAATTAATTTAAGCAGTTAGGGAACACAACAGTCTTGAGCGACAAGCAAGTACTTCAATTGACTCGATACGTTGTCCTGGCATTTCAGGAAAGAAATTAGGGCTGCAATAACCGCAGCCCCCACAATCGCTACTTTCCATAAAACAAGTAAATATTTTAAAAAGATATAATTCTCAGTAAAATGCAGAATTCTTCAATCCTTTTGATAACTTCGTTTTATTAGCTGGTGTTTGGTCTCACTTTTTGTACCCGGCAAAGAGGTCACATGTCAAGGGAAATTAGCATAATCACGCCACGCAAGTTGTCTTATTGGTTTGGATGGTCGCAGGGAAATTTTAGTTTGTAATGAACAGAGTGTCAAATTTTATTCTTCAATTTTGATCTTCTCCACACTATGGCTGGTTCGTGGCCTGATTCAACGAAAATTATCGAGAAGGCGCAACGTTTTAGGACCATTCTTTTTGTCGATATCTAACCTACCAAAGGTATATGCTAACTTTTACAAAACTGATGCAGCCAACCTGCAGTACTCCCTAATGTGCATGCTGGTAGGCTACTTTCTCACGTCGTCGAGTTCCCATCAATTTTTAGCAGCAGATTTGTTCCTGATAGACGACTTTTCTTTCGTCAGAGACAATTCTTGTCATCACTGGTAGCCTTGAAAGCTTTTTGAGGTGCAAAGATTACGGAAGTAACGAATATGCGAATGTGCACTGTTAGCTGAATGACCAACAGCTGCTGGTTACAGGTGGCCTTGGGAATGAAACATTTGGAAGAGCAGAAGGTTAGCCTAAACTTTTCCTAGTAAAGCTCTTTATTTTAGTAACTAATATTCAACCAAACGGATGAAAAATCCTCAGGTTAATGTAGTGACTTGTTGGCTTGTTCATTCAAGTTTATACAAGTTAATGTTACAAGATCATGCACCATTTTCACTGGGCCAAGTTCCATGGAGATGGTCGTCTTTAGAATCTCTGCTAGATCGAGTTTATACATCCAAGAGCAATGTGTAAGTGACGCAAAAATTAGGATATGAAGGCTGACTTGGGGGGCGGGGAGAGTGGGTGGTTGACCACCCACATACTTTTGGCCGCTGAGATTTTCGCCATCCCATTCTCCCTCACGTTATTATACCCCCGATGCAAACGTAGAATATCTTGTAACGAAAGCGTTTTAGGATTGTTCCAAGCCAGGTTTGATCGCATTGTCTGAAAAGCCATAGTCAAAAAATATGTAGCGTTCGGTGTCAAAGCATGATAATTAATGACTCTCAAACACTTTCAACTATAATTGTTGCTTGTTGGTTTTTTTTTTTTAATTTTCTTTGTCCCACGCTCATGACAAGACGAAAAACATCTTTCCTTACGAAATGTTACTTGTTATTATTCCCAGAAAATGTATCATCCATTTCGCGAAAAATAATTGATTCTGACTGCACTCACATGACGACTTCAACACGCACAAAGTGTGTAATTCTGCGAACCTCACTTGAGTGGGGTTCGTGCATATGTATGAGCACTGTTACCTAGTAACGCGTGACGTATTTTACGTCACGCTCCACCGAGACTCAGATGAAAGCTGTGTAGTAAAACCTGTTTGGATGCGGTCTGAGAAACTAGGATACATCGAGAAATTCGAAGTGAACTACGTCTGGTGTTTTGATTGTAATTTGGAAAGCTTTGTTTGTTAAGTGGATAACGATAAAAGCAGATGCAGTTTAGAAAATGGTTTTGATCTTTGAAATTCATAAAGATTTCGTCCATGAAAGATGACACAAATTCACGCCTGAAATTGAAGCGAATCGTAATTTGAGCTTTTTTTTTATATAAGTTTGGGTGATATTTAAAAGTAAAAGTTGGTCTTCTTAAAGCGAAGACATAGTTCACTGAAGGGAAAGGTTTCTTCGCTTTCTTTTCCGATCAGGCAATGTTCGATCCCTTTTTCGCGGAAAATAATTGATTCTGACTGCACTCACACGAGATATTCAATGTGAAAAGTTTATTTACGATGAGTCAATCAGTCCTCCAGCATACGCATCCTGATACAATCTTGACATGTGTACCCTAAAACTAAGGGTTCTAGAAAATGAACCCGTGCTACGCCAGATACGGAAAACCACTAAAAAACCACTCTCTACATGTGGCCAAAAATGTGTGAAACGTATTCTTCATCTGATGCAGCAGCACAATACCCCGAGGAAAGGGTTATCTAACCTGGTTGCTCTTCTAATAACAAAGAAAAATCAATGATTGTAATGATCTTGTACAGGGAGTTGGAAAACCAAAATTACAAAAAATACCAAAAAGAAAGTGGTCAAGACTGACCGACCTAGAATGACTTAGTTTTCCCGCGAAACGCTTTAACAATCCGAAAATTCCATGATACCACGCGAACCTCTTCAACGTGCGATCAGAATATTAATTTCGGACTAATTCTTTCCCATGTCAATCAAACCTCAGCAAGTACATGTATGCTTATCTGAAAGCAAGTCATCTATCATTGCTTTTTGGCTATCAACGTGTTTTTTGTTTTTGTTTTTTGCTTTTTTATTTTTTGTTTTATTTTTTTTATCGCCAATGTGTGAGGGTCTCAATGGGGTTAACCGTTAGCCGTAAACGGCTAAAACATTTAGCCGTTAGGCGTAAAAATTGACAAATTTTAACCGTTAGTCGTAAAAAAAGTTTACCGTGAAAAATATATCTGGTAGAAACAATGGAAAGGTGTTAACCGTTAGCCGTAAATTGGCCAAAATTTTAACCGTTAGCCGTAAAAGCCATCACCCTATTGAGACCCTCATGTGTAGGTGGTCGTTTAGCATACTACTTTGGGAAATGGCAACTTATGGTAGGTAACTAAATAGAAATAGAAATGTCAATATAAAAGCGAATACTGACGATGGGGAAAGGGTCGGGGATGCGTACAAATTCACATTGGTTCCAGAATTCCAAAACACTTTGTTTTATAGCCTGGGAGAGGTTTTTAAAGGAGGGAACATTAGGCGATTCTTTGGACAGAAATTAAATAGTATGTTATTCCATAAGTCAATAGATCGAAAGGGGTAACTTTAATAAGTTGAAAGATTCTAGGAACAACATTATCAGGTTTTCTTTGCAATTTTGAGCTCACAAGCAATATGTCAACAGATGTGTTAGAGGGATAGACAGCTTTAACTATATGATCAGTTAAGGTCAAGTTACTATTGTTAAGCAAACTCTCTTCTTTGTTATTTTGCTTGACAGGTGACTCACCATACTCTGACATACCAACACCACTTGCTTTGATAAGTCGGCTTTCTACAGGCTACCGGATGTCACGTCCTCATCAATGCTCGGAAGAACCGTAAGCTTCTCGATCATTTCCAAGTATGTGTTTTTACATTCAAGTAATTCGAAGCATTTTATCCAGGAGAGGATTATTAGTTAAGGTTTTGTCTCGCGTCAGATTTGGAACTCCACTTACTTTACATGTCCCTGTTAGAGCTCTGCAGTTTCCCTGTATTTAGATTAAGTGATTTAAATGAATAAATAGGTTCGAAAAATAAATAAATACTGCAATATATTTGTAGATATAAGCTGATGAGATCTTGTTGGAACGAGGATCCTTTGATGATACCTTCGTTTGCTGACATCGCAGATCAGGGATACTTCTTGCGAGAAGTAAAGGTGTGTGAAATTGAATTTAGGCAATTTCTTAGCCCTTCCTTCCATACTTTCCGATTTTTAAAAGTTAAGCAATATATTAATTTGATTTCGTTTGATTACATAAAAAAAATCAAATCGTTAAAATGAGTAGACTTGCATTAATTTTAGAGGAGTCATTTGAGATCAACGGAAGCGGCGACAAATATTGAAACACTTTCCATTGTACAAATGGCGAACTATATCATTTATATCTAAATTGCTTTCAGAAGGAAGATAACACAAGTAAAAGCATTGCTGAGATAAAAGGTAGGTCAAATTATCATGGTTCAAACGGTGTACCACTGCTTGCCTTGTAAAAAATAGTAAAAACCATGCACAAAACCATGATCGGTTTGTTTTCGTTGCAAAGATTAAACAAGGATATTAAAAATCCTTTTGCAGAAACGTAACGGAAAGGAACAACAGCGGAAACGTCCTGACTTAAATATGACGGAAACATGACTTGACATTTCCGTTCCGAAAACATGACGGAAACTTGATCGAATCGCCAAGACTTGGCATAACACGTTTCCGCAAAACGTAAATGTAGCGGAAACATGAAGCTCTATGCCTCTGTCATATTTAAGAAATGCGGAAACGTGAGATTTCGTCCCGTGAAACTGCAAACACATTTTATTTTCAACTATTTTTACACGATATCGTACATTTTACACGAATTATTCTCCTGGGCAATCCGACTTGATCTTCATTTCAGCTTTGGTAATGGATGCCGTAGGGACTTTACCCCAGTAATCCCATCTTAAACCATTCTTTTATTGGTAATTGTCGTTGAGGTTCGAATTCCCACAGCCATCTAAATCTTTTGAAAACCACCAAGCGCCAAATCTTCTAGTAAACTCTGGGTCGTCTTTATCTATTTTTGAAAAGAGGGGTGGTTGTTGCTATCAAAAAAATCGTTGGCATCTCCTTCAGAGAGAGAGAGAGAGGGAGAGAAAGAACAAATATATGATCAAAGTGATTTGATATTATCATTTATAGAACACTTTTCTCATAAATGTTCAAAAGCGCTTATCAGAGTGTGCGTTTTAAATAAAATAAAACCCAAGACAGAATTTACAAGCTCATCACTGGCTTAAAATTATAGGTTCTTATTCTAAATATTGAAATACAATAAATTACCATAAAAAATTGGCATAGGCCTGTCGAAATAGATACGTCATGATCATGGCGGGAGACGAGTTTTTCCACCCATGCGCGAGCACGCACGACCTTGGCGTGATGCACAGCCCGTGTGCAAAGTGGCAATAGCAGACACCGTCCTTAATTGAGAGAACATTGTGTTAATCTGTGAAACAAAGACAAATGTATTCTATTAACCGCTAAATTCAAAGACTTTCGAAGCAGAAATCGAATGGATACGAACTTGTTCTCAAACACTTTTAAACGTTATTATTACAATACCTTACCAAATGTATTAACTTGATCTATAATGTTTGGGGTGCAATTTTGAATCACGCATAAGATTTCACACCAAAATGGTTCGACAGGAAGTTCAATTGCCACTTAATTACAGCCCTTTCAAAATCGCTAGATTTATGCGCCCAAATACATGCATTAAAATATGTTATACATATATATATATAAACATATCTTTGTATTCTTTCTAATTTGATTTTGGATTCTAAAAA